ACAGAGAAGGCCCTCCCCCGGGTAGTAGCCAGACGGGTAGTAGCCAGATACTATTTAGTGACCAAAGTTGCAATGGCACTGAAAAAAGAGACTCAATACCATTTTTCACACCCTCACTGCAGCTTCCCTATGGCCATGCAATCAAAATTCAGGAGTTTGGCAACTGGCGTGAATTTATGATGGTTGCAGTGCCCGAGGGTCATGGGGTCACTATTTGTAACCTTCCCAATTGGCTTCCTACAAGCAAAGTCAATGGGGGGAAGCCAGATTTGCTTAATGACAGAATGATTCACCGAACAACTGCCATGATTCACTTAAACTGTGGCAAGAAAGGTTGTAAAATGGGATGGAACTCATTTAGCAACTGTCTGGAACGGAAATTTCGGACTTTACATTGAGGACTACCTGTAAATTAAATACCCTCTAAGTATGAGTATGGCCTTCAGGACATCACAGAAAACTTCCTTATGACATCTATGCTCTTGGTCTGTTTATTTACACAGATGGCATTCGAAACAAAACCATTATTCTGATGAACTGAATCTTTGGCTTGGAAACCTGTTTTGAAGTCTATGGAAAGATGAATAAATTGTGTCTCTGTCTCTGCAAAATGAACAGCTCAGGCAGTTTAATTGCACAACCCCAAGGCTCATGGGGGTTGTGTGAATCCAGAAAACGGAATCCAATAAAACCATGTTGGTTAATCTTGCTTGTACAAAACTCCAGATGCTCACAGGCTCATCTTACACCAAAAATATTAGCAGAATTTTGTTTTTCAATTTCAATTATTTGGAACAGTGTACAACTTGCAATGATACCTTTAACATCATCAAATAGCTCGCCTATCTCACATCCTTTTTTAAACATATATTTTTATTGTTTACACATAAATATATTGAATACAGTGTAATTGTCCTGGCATTTCACTTGCCATGAAACAAAGGTAAAAAAACAAAATAACATATATATTATTTTAAACAAGTGCTAATGTTGTACAGTAATTTCTGACCATTATATTCTAGTGTATCAACTTATCTATCATTCTAATACATACATAGTCTCTTTCCTTGCCAACCTAACCTGATTTTTTCACATTCCCACTTCTACCTTGTGTTTCTAACCATTGATAGAAACTATCCCATGTAACATAGTATTCTGTATTTCCTTTATCTTTTATTTTTAGCGTTAAGTCTGTCCATTTCCGTGCAGACTAGTATCTTCTTTATCATCTCCTCTTCTAAAGGGGTGTTTTTGGTCTTCCATTGCTGCACATACTCAATTCTTCCTGCGGTCAAGATATATTGTCCCTTTATCATAAAACCATCTGACATAATACCTGGTAAAAATAATTCTGGCTTAAACTCTGTATGTTGTCTTGTCATTTTTTCCCAACCACATATGCATTGGTATGCAATATTAGCAGTATTTAATTTCATTCCTCTCTACACAAACCTCTTGAGGGGGGGACTACAGGTCTAGGCTGGAGTACTGCAANCTAACCACTGCGCCACCTCGGCTCTTCTTATTTTTACTTATATAGTAATGTTGTTAAAGGCACCAGGTTAGAAACTGGGAGACCATGAATTCTAGTTCGGTCTTAAGCAAGAATACAGCTGGGGCTTTGGGGGGCAAGTTCCATTCGCTCAGCTGTGGGAAGAAGGAGACAGTGGCAAACCATTTCCGTAAAAAAAAAAATGTTGGCAAGAAAATTGCAAGGATTTGTCCAGGCAGTTGCCAGGTGTAAAGATTGACTTGAAAGCAGGTAGATACAAGCCATAAAAAACAACTCAGCATGGTGGTTAAGGCTCCGGATTAGACACAGGGAAACTCCTTGTCCTGCCTTAGGCATGAAAGCCGGCTGGGTGACTTTGGGCCAGTCCCTTTCTCTCAGCCCCAGAAAGAAGAAAGATGAGAAGGAAAAACCACTTTTGGAAATCCTGCCAAGATTTTACCAGAAACCTATATAGTAAAGAAAAATATATATTTGATTATTCATGTAATAAGAGAAGCCAGGATTGTCTTTGCATAACACTGGAAAAGTGAAGAAATTCCTACGGATGAGAATGTGATCAGGAAAATATTAAGAATGTGCAGAAATGAATAGGTTAACATTTGCAATGAAAGAGAAGGAGCAAACTGAATATTATAGTATACAGCAGTGATGACTAACCTTT